ACTCTCTGGGCCAGACTCAGGGTTTCTAAACAGTGTTTACGTCATCTACTCTCTGGGCCAGACTCAGGGTTTCTAAACAGTGTTTACGTCGTCTACTCTCTGGGCCAGACTCAGGGTTTCTACACAGTGTTTACGTCGTCTACTCTCTCTGAGTCAGACTCGGGGTTTCTATACAGTGTTTATGTCGTCTACTCTCTGGGCCAGACTCTGGGTTTCTACACAGTGTTTGTGTCGTCTACTCTCTGGGCCAGACTCAGGGTTTCTAGACAGTATTTACGTTGTCTACTCTCTGGGCCAGACTTAGGGTTTCTAACCAGTGTTTACGTCATCTACTCTCTGGGCCAGACTCAGGGTTTCTACACAGTGTTTACATCATCTACTCTCTGGGCCAGACTCAGGGTTTCTACACAGTGTTTACATCATCTACTCTCTGGGCCAGACTCAGGGTTTCTACACAGTGTTTACATCGTCTACTCTCTCTGGGTCAGACTCAGGGTTTCTATACAGTGTTTATGTCGTCTACTCTCTGGGCCAGACTCAGGGTTTTACACAGTGTTTATGTCATCTACTCTCTGGGCCAGATTCAGGGTTTCTAGACAGTATTTATGTTGTCTACTTTCTGGGCCAGAGTCAGGGTTTCTACATGATGTTTGTGTCGTCATATGCCTACATGGGTTAAACTTGAATGGTCCCTGTTGTGTATCATTTCTGTCACGTGGCTTACAAGGTGTTGATGTCACGTGGTTTACTGAGTTATTTTTATCAACAGAAAGAAACAGTTTGTAACAGTGAGATTTGCCAAATTTGTCTTTTGATGCAGGTAACATCAAATTTCAATTATGTCCTTGTGATTACTATAAAGATCTAAAAGTACATTAAAAAGTGTAAAAAAACAAAGACAACATATTTCTAAGGTTAAAGCAATTCACTTATCCTCTAACTAACACTCGGAGATTTATATGTGTAGAAATGTGTCACTTATAGAGACTGAGTACATTATATGAAAATGATTTTGGAGCCTCACCATGTTGTTACAGTCGATATCATCACGTCCGGTTATGTTCTATGTAGCAACCGTGCATCCCAACAACAGCCCTGCAGCGTAGTTTCCCTTAAAAAAAAACACTCCCTCATAAGGCTCTAATATTCAAAGCACACTCCTCCTCCCTGCAACTTTCCATAATACATCTAGTGAACAAAGACGATTGTTTCTCAGCATCTGTTTTCCATAATACACCTAGTTAATGACGACGGTGGTTTCCCAGTGTCTATTTCAACAGCCCGACTCCACATAAATCCTTCGCCGACTTGACCAGTACTTCTTAATGGGGATTAGTATGAATAACGTTTATGCAATGTTTCATGTCATGGAAGTAGTCTTCTGATTACGTTGCTACAATTTCTTGGGGTCACATGGATGGCTTTAACCACTGATCTTTATGTTTGTGGATTCTCACCTATTACATGACGCAGTACTGGGGTACCACCTGTTTCAGGTCTCTTTCTGGATGGCCCTGATACCTCAATTTGATCCATATTTCTTTGTTTCCCAATGCCCTTAAATACAAAGGATATCCCGGTTTTTAAAATTCTAAATCCATGAATTGTTCTGAGTGTATGAATATTTTGCGTCGAAAACCCTTCTAAAAAGTAATAAATTTTCGGTGGCATCAAACTACCTACACAATGCCAAATAATGTCAAAATATAGTTCCAAAACATGCTACCACCATTATCGTTATCACATGACTTACAGATTTGCTTTTTCAAAATCATTTTCCTATAATATACTCAACTCTACATATATAAAACAATATAATTTTTCTTTTGAAATATTCATTTTGTGTTAACTATCAGATCAATCACAAACGTAGCAATAAATTCAGTTTACAATTTAGTGTATAAGACTTGTTTCCATACATAAATATTAGAGATGGTTTCAGAAAGCACAACGCACACCAGATCTTAAATGTGAAGTTTTCAAATTTAGGAAAAGCAAATTACAGAAATCATAAATAAATTGATATCATGCGTACATTTTTGTCGAGTTTGATATAAACCTTGTCCAAGCGAACACATACCTCATAACTTAGAATAGTATGTTTCTATGAGAGTGAAACATCAATAACTAATCATCAGAGAATTACGTACCACTATCTGAACCTTCCTTTCGGTCACTCGTTAAAAGAATCCGCTTCACGGGAAACTCGTATTTATGTTTCACTTTAGATGCGACGAAGTTCTACATATACACAGTAAAAAATGTTCAGTTCCAGTAAACAGTGCACCAGTTCCAGTAAAAAATTTATCAATTTCAGTGGAAAAAAAAAAGTACCAGTTACGGTAAAAAAAATGTACCAGTTATGGTAAAAAAATGTATCGGTTCCAGTAAAAAATGTACAAGTTACAGTAAAAAATGTACCAGTTACAGTAAAAAAAGTACCAGTTACAATAAATTATGTACCAATCCCAGTAGAATACGTACCGGTTACAGTAAATTATGTACCAATTACAGTAGAATATTTACCAGTTATAGTGAAGTATGTACCAGTTACACAACTCTACATTACATATATGTACCAGTTACACACCTCTACATTACATCTGTGTACCAGTTACACACCTCTACATTACATATTATAGTGTGTACGTTACACAACCCTACATTACATATTATATTATGTACCAGTAACACAACTCTACATTACATATTATATTATGTACCAGTAACACAACTCTACATTACATATTATATTATGTACCAGTAACACACCTCTACATTACATATTATATTATGTAACCAGTAACACAACTCTACATTAAATATTATATTATGTACCAGTAACACAACCCTACATTACATATTATATTATGTACCAGTAACACAACTCTACATTACATATTATATTATGTACCAGTTACACAACTCTACATTACATATTATATTATGTACCAGTTACACAACTCTACATTACATATTATATTATGTAACCAGTAACACAACTCTACATTACATATTATATTATGTAACCA